ACAATTTCTAAACTATATGTCATGGATGAGAATGCTTCTCCTACTTTTCTATCATTTCTAAAGTATTTGTAATTTACAAAAGTTTACATTTCGGACTTTGACACATTGACGAGGGATTTACTAAGTTACATAATCCTTCTCAACAGTTGTCGCTCTTACACTTCGAACGCGTTTTCGCTCTCATGCTCTGCGCGCATTCTCGCTCAAATTTTCACTGTTTATTATTTAATTCTGTCGCTCTCAGGCTTCGCTCTAACTCCAGCTTTATGTGACTTAGATTTGTCATTAGAATAAAATCTTGTAGCTATATAAATCTTTAGATTCACATATATAGATGATTCATCAAACAAATATTGATCATACCATTATATTTACTCTATTCTCAAGGAGAAACCACTGGGATCAAGTTGGAGGACATGCCCTCGTGTCCTTGAAACTCCAAACACTAACTTCTAGCTTATTACTTATTCTTATACATTGTTTGAAAATTAAAAAATAAATAAATAAGAGTTAGTAATTCTATGCAATAATCACTTGCCCATGTTCCTCAAGCTCTCCATTTGATGCTCATGTCTCTATGCTTTGGGAACTACGTTTTTTTTGCTAATAACCACAAACCCTCATGATCAAGCATTGATCAGATTAATATTTTTGTTATATATGCTATTTATTGGGGAAAGAAAAAAAAAAAAAAGGTTCAACACAAACACAGAGACATTAGTATAACCCTTTTTCTGCAAATTTATTTTCTGAATTAGATAGTTTTCTTAAAAGATAAAAGTTTAAGAAGCTGATAATATATTGTAATTTTGTATATAAGACTTTACATTTATATGACTATACTTTAATTGAAACATATAATAATAATGTCATGATTTCTTTTTACATCTTTCACTTTTTGCTGCGAAAAATTTTCGTAGCAAGTAGTTATTGTGATGCCTCTAATTGATATTCGCAATGAAATTGCGTTTTTGTTGGTAATACTAGATATTCACACAAAAGCTAAAGCCTTTGATCATGTGATTTCCAACAAGTATGTAGGAGATTAATTCAATTTTGATTTACCATATTCTGCTGCATTTAGACAAGAAAATAAATTACAATTTTTTGTATTTGTAACAATTTATATATGCATGGCAAAACATATATATACATATATATATAGCATCTGCTGCATTGCTAGTATTCATAACCTAGTTCCTATATTATCAAATTTTGACCAGGCTTGAATCCAGAGTGGTGTCTCAGAGGATTCAGAACCACATCATGCATGGTAGTACTAAACTTTTTTCTTTTTCTTTTTTTTTTTTTTTTTTTCAATTTCCTTAAAAGAAAGATTCTACTGTTACATGTTGAAAAGGAGTGCCTAAACCCTAAATGGTTTACAAGGAATGATGAATTCCTTTGTTTTATCAAAATGTTTTACTCTCAAGCTGTGGACTGAATCCCTTACTAAGACCTCTGCAATGGTTAAATTAATTTTATCTAACCATCTTTGTCAGATTGCACATTTTTATTACGTACTCAATTTAATTATATGAAAGAAAGCAGCTCATCTTTGATTTTTTTTTTTTTAACTCAATGAAGCCCTAGTATCTGATTTCACTTGATATATATATTTTTTCTAGTTGGTACTCACACACACATGTCTCTTCTGAGACTTGAACCCTGACCTCCCTTTTAGAAAGTAAAAAGCTGATACCGCTAAGCCACTTACCCCTCGGTGATTTCACTAGATATTTGAGGCTCAAGTCCAATGCTTCATCTCGAAAATTTCAAGAAATCTTAGTGCAGTTCATTTTAAACTTATTAAATTATTTACGAACATTTAAAAATGGAACAACTTGACCTTAGTCACTAAGCTAAGGTTAAGTATGGTTGGATTGTTTATGAAAAACTTCCATTTTCTGTCTTAATTTCGGTCAAATTTTTATTAATCTATTCGATTGTTTACTATTTTCAGTTTCCCCAACCATGCACATTCCAAGGAAACCAATTTTTTTTTTTATGAAGGTAAGTTTTGGAACCCTAGCTTTGACAGGTGCTGGAACCCTAGCTTTGACTTGTGTTTTGAACTCTATATAACCCTCGCTGTGTTTGTCATGTCTCTCCTCTTTTCGTTTGCTAAAATAACAAACATATATACCTGAGAAAGAAAAGGAACACATAAATGGTGTCCACAAAGTTTGCAAGCTTAATACTAGCCCTTCTCTTTTTGCTGCATGCCCTAAGAAACTCTTCTGCATATGCTCATCAAGGTATACATATATATATATATATATAGTTTTCGATCTTCTCCATCATTTTTCGTATAGACTATAAAAATTACCATGACAGTTTGAAATAATATTTTCCTCATCCCTATTTTGCAGGTAGGGGAAAGAATAATGGAATTGGAGTACTAACATCAACCGGGGAAAATGTTGCATCTGTTCAAAAGGTAACTTAATTTGTTATTATATGATCTTCTGATGCATTCTTTAATAGTGTTATCTTTTATAGATTATGAGATATAACTAAGGACTAAGGCCGAAATGTATGAACAGGAACTTCCCGACATTATTCCTAGTGCTGCCAGTAGGAAAATGGGGCTTGGAGGAAGGAAAATGGCGGTGGATGAAAATTTGAGGAAAGAGGTTGAGAAAGAAAAAGTGCTTAACGGAGAAACTTCAAAGATTTCAGGTGCAGCCCATTATGCCAAAGAATGTACTTATGATGTTGAAGGAAAATGGGAGCTGAATGTAGAATGTACACTTAAACATAAAAGCAGTGTTCGCCATAAGCTCAATGTGGCTGGTTTTGTAGCTTTCAATGCTGCTGATTATCATGGACCAAGACACCACCCTCCTAAGAATAACTGATTGAGAAAAAAAAAAAAAAAAACCATAATTTTTAGTATCCCCTTTTCTTTTTAGATTGTCCTAGTGAGAACATGAGATGTAGTACATGAGAAATATCAAACTTTTATGTAATACAAAAAGATCTCAATGTTCAAATCCATTTACTCACTTCGATAGTTTAATGCTCTTTTTAATGTTAAATCTTCAACTTTATTTGTATTTTCTGTTGATGAAGGATTGGCTTGCTTGTGGTTCAGTTTGATTATTTATTCGGTTGTTGGTGCAGGAAATGAAATGGATGCTTCAAAAAATTCTCTTGAAAGATCACAAGATTGCTTGAATAATCAGGTCTCCTCTCTCTCTCGCTCTCTCTCTCGCCTTTCTTTGTTTCATACCTCTGTTTTATGTTTTGTGCTAACTAACTTACACTAAGATCAATTTTGTTTTAACCATGCACAGAACATTAATAGCAACAAAATGGAGCCAAAGGGATTGAAATCTGCAGGCTTAGGAATCTCGAGAATTGAGCATGAAGTCCATTTCCTAAACACCACTGCACTATACTCTCAAGATACCAAGGCAATTTCAACTAAAGCTAGTTTGGAAAGTTCTTCGAATGATCATCACCATGATATTGCCCACAAGGATGAAGCACAAGGACTTCTTGAGGCAGCGGACGAGATTGTGGCTCTGATACGCAAGGATTACACGGGAATGGATAAGCCTCGACGCAGGCCACCAATCCACAATCATAAGCCTAATGACTAATGAAGAAAGATGTGTAGATATATACACTAGTTTTGGTCTAGGCTCACAATTTTGCCCCATTAGAAGTGAAGTCTCCTAACAGTGTTTAGAACTAGCAACCTTTTTCTTTGTTTTGTTTCTCTGATGAGTTTTGAGTACAAGCATAAGAATGATGTTTGATTTTCCCAGCTCAAAACTAGGAGGAGAAACATGTTTGTGTTGTACATTATATAGGCCTTTTCTTATATATGAAGTTAGACTAGTTTTGTGAACTGATTATATATTTTATACACACACACCATACTAGCCCTCAACTCTCTGTTTCCTTAATTGTGTTTTCATCTAATAAGTACTAAAATATTTGGTATAAATGGTTACTATTTGCATTCCTATAATGTTAGATTTGGGTTTGAGCACAATGAAAATTTGTAAGAACCAAAGGTTTCAAGATGCAAGTTCACAATAAATCATTTTTATGGACACTTACTGTGTTGGTCTAATTTGCATACTTCCAACAGTTTGGGGTTAATTTTTTTTCAACAGAGTAATGTGCAATTTTTTTATTATATTTTTGGGAGGTTTTGTCTAAACTAACTCAAACATAGGCATTACCAAGGGCCCATTTGTTTTTGATTAAAATGAGAAGAAAAGAAAGTGAATGATTTAGATGGAAACGTTTTTAAAAAGTGGAGAAAAATGGAAGCATAAGATAGTAGGGGCTGTCTAAGTCCCTCCCCTTGAATTAAATTTTTTATCCTTCCAAATGTGAATGAAAATGGATTGAAAAGTTGGAGAATTATTATTAAATTTTGCAATAAAACAATTATTTTCTTTCCTTTCCTTTCATTATTTTCCAAATAAATATAAAAGATTCTATTATTAATTAACCAAACATGCTCAACAATTAGTATTTCTTTTCTTTCTAACTCACATTTCCATTATTTGTTTTTTCATCATATTATAAGTAGCATGGACACGAATACGATAACACATTAAATTCTACGACTAAAATACGTTGACACACCAAATTTTAGAAAGTATTTTCGAGATGAACTTTTAAAACATAAATATTATAGGACAGGATAGTAAAACATAAATGTAACACGATTCATATACATATAAATTACATAAATTACCATTTATAATTTTACTAAACGAGACATATTAGACAATTGAGTGGGAGGAATGTAAAAGGGAGGCCCGTGCCCCCACCTCATGACATTACCTAGGCGTTAGTGGTCATGCCTCCACTCAAATTGAGAACTAATTTTATATTTTTGATGTCCCAATAAATACTACTATATATATATATATTTTTTTATTTTTATTTTATAACACACCAATTTAACGTTCTTTCATTAAAATTATAAAAAATAAACAAATACATTTACTTTCACTCTGTTAATTTATTCACTATCAATACAATAATAAAAAAAATTAAAACTCAATTTATTCACTATCAATATAATAATAATAAAAAAATTAAAACTCTTCCTCTTAAAAAAATTAAATTTCTAAAAAGTACATTTCTAAAAATGGATTTTTATTTCAGTACCAAGTACAGCAGACAATACTTATTCTGTTATATTAATCACTCGGTGAAGGTATTGGCTAGGGCACCACCAGTACCAGTACAATTAGGACTGAAGAGTCGAAGTTCCAAAGGAAATGGTGAGAAGTAGGAAGAGTCTCCACCAAGAAGATGATGAGGAATTCCTTTCAAGAACCCCTGGTGACTCTTCCCATATAGGTATCCCATTGCCCTTCTTTCTCCTCTCACTATATATGCACACACAAATGTATGCATAAATGTGTATGTGTGTATATATATATATTCTGTGTTTTGTCTTTTTCTATTTTTTCAATTGATGTAAAAGTAGAGGGGAAGAATGCTGATCATAAGGGGAACACACATCGCTCGAAGCATTCGGAGACGGAGCAGCGTAGGAGGAGCAAGATTAATGAGAGGCAAGCACCCAATAGATTTTTTTTTTTTTTCCCTTTCAATTAGATGGTTATATATTGAGAATCTACATGAGTTTCTATGGAAATTGAATATTTTGTTTCTGTATATGCTAAAAAGAAAACTTTGTACATTGCTAAGGGTGTGATTTTGAATTATATGCTAAAAAGAAGGCAACTTTGTACATTGCTAAGGGTGTGGTTTTGTTTGTCTGAATTATATGATGTCGATAGAGCTGTAGGACATGATGTTCCTTTGTTGGAATTTTCTTAATGGCTCGCATATAATGCAGTTGGTCTGTTTTGCTATTAGGGGATCGAAATTCTAGTGATGTAATAGGATTTCCTTGCACTTCTTGGAAAATGGTAGTCTGGAAATATTGGAGGCAGCGTTCGTCTCCGTGGATATGGGTTTTTGCTTCAGATTAGTGGAGAGAGAGCTTGTTTTCGCTAGCATGACGTTTGAATTTTTAACGGGTTAGGGTAGGTGTTGAAGGTCCAGACACAGAGGAGGAGACCTACCCCGCTTCCCCACTCCAACCCTCCCCCATGACAACTCGGAACGAAAAAATAAAATAAAATAAAATAAAATTTCCCCTGATGTTTTTCAGTTCTGTCTAATATTGTACTGGAGAAACAGCTATTTGGATGTTTACAACTTCACATCAGAAGCCGTTATGTAATTAGGGTTGCACATTTGTCTCCTAAAGGTGTTATATAAATACGATTATGAATTTGATATTGTATAGAATCTATAGATTAAATTGTAAAAATTGTGAATTTGATTAAAGATGGCAGTTTGCAAATAATCACTTCGATGTGTTACCATGGCCAAGCAACTCATGTCTAACAACCTCATGGGTATTTTTTTCACGACTTCATGGGATATGTCAACACTTTTTAAATAACCCTAACGGGCTGTTCTCATCATCATTATCACCCTGCCTTTATCCCATATGGTTGGGGTCGGCCACATGAATTTTCTTTTTCCATTATTCCTATTATACACCGTGTCTTCCCTTATATTTAAGTTCTGTAAGTCGTTTTAATTATTTGAACGGGTTGTTCTTCTTATGCCATTTCATGTCCTAGTAAGGGCTTAGGGTAGTCTTGGCACCTTTCTAATCTAACCAAGGAAGCCAATGATGTTTTTGGATCCAATTGTATGGATACCGTGAGGGACTAATTTCAGAGTGGAATATATTTTCAACTGTGGGATGCTCACATTGCTGGACCTGCAGGTTACCAGCTGCCTTGATAGAACTCCATGTGATGGGACTATGGATTTTTCCCTTTTTGTTTTCCTTGCTATATTGTATTACTGAATGTGTCCTCCCACCTTGCTTGTGAGTTTAATTTTGAGTATCCTCTACCCTAATCTTTAACTCCTATTTTATCAATAAACTGTTATGTTCCACACTACTAACAAATGATAATAATAATAGAAAAAAGAAAAAGAAACGAAAAAGAGAGAGGGTATTGTTGGCTTTTGGGTTTACAATGTTTATGCAGACTCAGGAAACCTTTTATCTGGAGACCTTTATGAGTCTAGATTTTCATTTTTAGAAATTGACATAATTCAAGTGGTTGCTGGGTGGCAGTGAACTTTTTCAAATTTTATTTTCCCTAGTTGATACTCGACCCCTCAAGGAATTGTTTGCACCCAAGAGGATTCAAACCTTAGACTTGATGCTTCATGAGGCATCAGAGCCAAGTTCTTATCCACTTGAGCCAACCCTTTGGGGTTATGGCAGTGAACTTTCGATGTGCTAATTTAGAATGTTGGTTGTTACATGTAGTGCCATCTTTTTTACTCATTTTTGTTGTTTCTTTAGTATTAGTGACCATATTTCTGTGGTGATTGCACATTAAATTTCCAGTATCAACAACAAATGTTTGAATTCTTCTGGTACTCACCCATATGCAACTTTTATGAAAATTTTGTGCATGGAGTTCACAAATTTTGAAAACTGGTGCAGATTTCAAAATTTGAGGGATCTTATACCTCAAAATGATCAGAGGAGAGATAAAGCTTCCTTCTTGTTAGAGGTGCTTCGTTTCATTCCAATAGCTTATGTTACTTTTTCATTGTTCTGACCAATGATTTCATTTCCTGAAATGAGTTATTGAATGTTTGTGTCATATGCAGGTTATACGGTATATTCATCTTTTACAGGAGAAGTTAAATATGTACGAGGGATCTTACCAAGGTTGGAGTCAGGAGTCCTCAAAATTGATGCCATGGGTAAAATCCTATTATATGACATGTTTGTGTGTAGGGGGCTGTGTGTAATAATGTGGAACTCTCGATTGCTTTTTCATGCCATGTTAGTTTGCTTTTATCTGTCACTCTTTGTCTCTTTGATGTTTGATGGTCCAGTGATGTCTTGGTTTTCGTCCTCAACAAGAACGATTCATGTCCTGTGTCAATTTGGACTGAAATTGATATATCTTTAAGTTAGAAGCACGATGACATTTTGCAACTTTATGTGTGTATGCTTTCCTTTCGGGATATAAGATTGAGTGGCTGTCTATTTTCTCTTCTTTAGGAACTCAACTTCAGGAGCTTGGATGTGAGAGGGCTTTGTGCATTATCTTTTACCCTCAAACGTGCTTGTCTAGGGATGCATGCTTGTGTATGCTCATGCATTGTGCTGCCATGTGTTTGAATACTGCACGATGTATGCACTCATGCTCATCTTTCATTCGCATTCATAATCTAATTTCTTTGCCTTTTGCCAGTTATCTGGCCAGTCATTATGCTTATATGGTTTCTTTTTCTTTTGTCCCTTTTTTATCTAGGGATTTTACTTCCTCTTGGTTTAAGAGAATTCTTCATATTGTTTGCTTGATTGAGTAATTACTAGGGCATGGATTCTTTCTCATGTATTGGAAGTTCTTTGGTTGTAAATAGGAGCTGTATGAGTCTGGGTGTATGTTTTACATTTTGCTTTTTTTTCTTTCTTTTTTATTTTTTCCCCCTAGTTGGTACTCACACACCCCCCCTCCAAGGAATTGTTTGCACCTAGCAGGAATCGATCCCGAGACCTGATGCTTCATGAGGCATCACGGCCCAAGTCTTTTCTAACTAGGCCAACCCCTTGGGGTACATTTTGCTTCTTCCTATGGTGAAATTTGGTTATTGTCTCATCTTTTTGCAAACAGAAAAACAATTGTGGGCCTGTGGAAAGTTTTCTTGATCAATCTGAAGTCATAAAGAATGGCTATGGAAACGAGGATAATATTATTCTCACCCCATCAATGCTCACTAATGCACAGTATCCAGTAGAATCTGACTTGAGTTCGGGTGTTGCGTACAAAGCAACAGCTCACCCCCTTGTGACCGAGGCAGTTCCAGCTAATATGCCATTGCATCCCAACTTGTTTGGGGATGTTCCCACACAACCTCATCCGGGATCTGTTGCTGATGCTGAGCTCTTGGCTGCACAGTCACAGCCCCAATTCTGGCAGGCTAGACGTTGTACAACTGAGAATGTTGTTCCCTATACTCCAAATGAACCGGAGGAGCTGAAAATTGAGAGTGGAGAAGCTAGCAGTTCAAATGCCTACTCTCAAGGGTGCGCCTCTAAAGTAGTTTCTAGAGCATCTTGTTACATTACGTACAAAATTTGGCTGTTATTAGTTTAATTTGCTGGATTGCATTCAATTGTAATGGTATATGCTAATTTGTGTTCTAGGCTATGATCTGCAATGCCTTGGTGTTGGTTGCTGATGTAAATTATGCACTTCTCATAGGAAAATAAAGTGATGAAATGGACTTGCCTCTACTGATGACTGGTGATTAATGTGACTTGATTTGCAACTTTATATTCACTGCAAGTTTGCTTGCCAAGCATGTGCGCTCTCATTATAATATTACTAATTTGAAAGTCTTTGACTGGGGTCCTTGTAAGCTTTCATTTGTTGAAGGAATATGTCGATTAGATGCTTAGAAGGTTGGCCTCCTCATCTTTTTCAGTTGCCTCTGAACAAATCCACATTTCCCAAATTTATACCATTTGTTTTTGTTGTTGAAATTTTTTCCACGTGGGTGTCAAACATGCTTGTCTCATAGTTATTTGAGTACTAGGTCCAAAATTATAAACAGCAATCCATACGAGCATCTTATATTATAGATGTGTATATAATTGAATACAATGAGGGTGGTTTAGATTATTCAGCAATGAGGTCTATTAGTGACCTATATATAATCTCCTTTTCATTGTCTAATTCTTATCTTTTTTGGCTCCTAGAACTCCACCAGTGTGATATTGTGTAGGTTGCTGTTTGACTGGTAAAACTGTAATGGTTTCAGAATTTAGTCGGTACTTGATTAGTTGCTTTATTCTCATTAATTCTGAAACTCTTTAGGTAACAGTAATCTGGCTATTTTTCCATTTTGAGCATAAGAATTTTATGTTCTTAGACTGGACATCTTATATACTGTTATTTTGCTGTTGAGTAGGGTGTTGAATACCCTGACCCATGCACTGCAATCTTCAGGAGTGGATTTGTCGCAGGCCAGCATCTCAGTGCAACTTGATATTGGAAAACGAGCAAATAGTGGACTCAGTGCTACAATGTTCTGTGCAAAGGTTATCTATAATTTTCAACTACTTTTTAGGCCCTCATATTACTACTACCACTACTGCTATTACAATGTGTCTCCTTGTATATATATTTACATAAAACGTATATGTCATGGAGATGCAGATATTGGGGCAATGAAGGTGCACCTATTTTGTTCCTCCCATAAAGTTCACCATTGGCATTGAGGAGCCACGCTCCAAATTGGCCTAATCTGAATATAATTCACAATGGTTGCTTTATTTCTTTTATTTGAAAGTTTCTAAAAATATCTACTGCAAAGGAGCCTCTCTGCATTATCATGCAGATAGCTCAGGTTCTGCCCACCCCCCATTATGAAATTGATGTGCTTTGAAAGTTGTTTCCGTCACGTCCCCTTCTGCTGCCTTTCCACAACCCAACCCTGTATAGGCCCCTCATTTCAAAAGGTTCATTCCCCTCGCCACTCTGTTTTATTCTTACACCACACTCTTCTGCAAGCTTCCTCTGTCCTCTACCAATCACCGAAACCACTAACTTAACAAAGCTTTATTAGACAATCCTATCTATTCAATATTTCATTGCTCATTCTCCTTCCCCCAAAACAGAAACACACCACACCTATCCATCAAGTGATACTTGAACTTCTGGCAACCCTTTCTCCACATTCCCCTTCCCCCACTAATCATCCACCAACTGGGAGAGTGGGGAAAAAATCCGTTAAAATCGCTTCTCAAAACTGAAATTTTGGATATGGACATATATATAAGACTAGAATGGTGATGTTCTCACCAAATGGAACATTCTTTGTCAGAAGACCTCAGAAAGAATAACGAGGGCTAGCCCAGTGCACGAATCTCCCGCCATTGTAGGGTCTGGGGAGGGTCAGATGTAATTAATCAACAAACATTAACCTCCAACACTGCATTTCATAAGATCTCTTGATATCTAGCTTTAGACTTGGTATTTCTATTCAGTGGTATTTTGCTACACTTTTACCTTCTCATAGTAGTGGCATAATCGTTATATATAATTTTCCATTTTTTTTTTTTTTTTTTTTTTTTTTTTTAAGTAGGGGTGGGGGAATTAAGGGTTGGAGGTTCTTAAACATGCTATTACATCAATTTCCTCAGGCTTCTAGCCTTCGTTCTTGGTACTTGTAGCAACTACTGCTTGCTTAGATATGTTTTTATTGTACAAATGACAACGGGGATTGGAGTTGTTGAGGTTGACCATCAATAAAAATGGCACATGCATAGTATATAAATTATTTCAGAAATCAAATGTGGTATTTGTGTAGGATGATTAGCCTTGATTTTGTACTACTGTAAGGAGTTAAACCATCCTCTTTGGACTGCATCTGCAAGCTGTGTTCTGAAATTGTGAATAGTGAGAGTATTAGCCTTATCAAAAAAATTTATGAAATATGCATGCTCAAGTTTATCTTATGCAAATGTGTTTAATTTAAACTTTGATATTTATCTTTTAATTTTTAATTTTTAATTTTTATTTTAATATTTCATTTCGAGTACAGGATCATGAGAGTCCATCTCCCGGCAATCAAGCAAGGGCACATTATGGGGTTGGGAGCAGTGGTGAAAAATCTGATAAAGCTCATAAAAGGCTTAGACCATAACAGGGCTAGTATGGCATTTACTATACCCCATCTTCTGATATTTTCCTCCATTTTACTCCTTGCTACATTTCTCTCTCTATAATTTTTGTGGGGAAGAGTGCAGCGTATTTTTGCCTTGTGATGGTCCATAGATGATACTAGTTGTTATGTTTATGCTCGGCTAGTATGGCATTTATTATAACCCATCGTCCTGATATTTTCCCCAAATTTGTTCCTTGCTTCATTTCTCTCTTTACTGTTTTTGTGGTGGAGAGTGGGGTATTTTTTCCTTGTGATGATCCACAGATAATACCAGTGTATGTTTACGCTCGGCTAGTATGGCGTTTATTATACCCCATCTTCTGAAATTTTCCCTCATTTCGTTCCTTGCTACATTTCTCTCTTTACTATTTTTGTGGGGTATTTTTGCTTTGTCATGGTCCACAGGTGATACTAGTACGTATATGTTTATGTTTATGCTCTTGCTTTGCTGGATGCCTGAATTCTCTTAGATGAAGCTGTTTATATACTCTTCCTTCGACGGGCAATTATTTGTTAAGTGAAATTTCTTGTGTTGTTTCCTGTTTTATTGCTCTTTCCATGTTAGTTTTTGTTTAAATTTCTTCCAGATATCTAATACATTTTCTTCATATGCTGTCGGAAATAGACTTATCAAAAAAAAAAAAAAAAATTTGTGTCAGAAATTGATAGTCAAACATCATTTTAGAATGTCGTAGGACTTTAAAATCATGATTTGCTGCTTGATTGGTTAAATGACATATCCACTTTTAAGGAGAAAAGATTGAAAAACAGAGGTCCCCTCGACAGATGTATCGTGTTTGGAACTGTGGAAATTTTTTCACAAAGTTGACTGTTCAGATATTTGGCCAAATAAGTCTGAAACTTCAATGTTATTTAGAGAAATTGAATCAAAACACTAGATAATTCTTTTAATCAACTCAAGTGCTTAGTTGTTTTGTGATTGAAAATTTATGATTCTCTTTTTTTATGTATCAGCTTTTTTCAATAGTGATGAATTAAGAGCCACACATGTTATGTTGTCATATACTTGGAAGTGTGCTTCATTCACCATAACTATGTGCATTGTTACTTTAGGAATGAGAATGACAACCCCCACTTCAGTCCTCATTTTTTAGGGTTTGAAAGTTCATTCTAATGGTCTAAATTGGTTACGCTTTATATGGAAGATCATGTCACACATACAGGGGTTGAAAAAAAAATGGGCAACCCGTTCTATGGATTCCATTGTCGACAATTAGGGCTAGTTTGGTTGGTGACAATGGAATACTTTTAATTCCATTCTTTTGTTTGGAAAGTAATTTTAAAGATGGAATGTTTATTTTCACCATTCCCGGATAATGAGCATTCCATCAAACTATTCCACTTGCCAACTAGAAGAATGGGCATTCTATTCCCACTTAGAAAATACAGAGTATTGAAAATTGCTTTGCTTGAAGACCAAATCAACCTATTGAAGGCGATCAACAACCAATCCAAAATCAACTCAAAATTAGTCATTCAAGTAGACTATCAATCTGATATCAACTGGCGATTTGCATCCATTGAAGTAGATCGATGACTAATCTCAAATTAGCCGGCGATTTGCATTCATTGAAGTCAATCGACGATCAATCAGCTGACGGTTTAACTCCATTGACAGTAGGATGAATATCAATCCTTCGTCCTACTGTCAATGGCGGTAAACCATATATATATATATATATGTATGTATGTATGTATGTATGAGAGAGATGCATGTTGTTGAGATTGCACCATTGACCAAGAAACAGTAGTAAATTTCCATTTCGACATAAAGATGCAATAAAAGGCAACTTCTCTTGATATTCTCTCCTTAGTTTCCAAATTCAAGTAGTGTTTGGAAGAGAGAAGAAGAGAAAGAAAATATATGTTTACCATATATATATATATATATATATATATATAAATGCATATTCTGTATTTATTTTAACCCATCGGGTCATCAATAACCAAACAAGAGAATGAGAATAATTATTTCATTTTATTATTTGATTCATTCCATTCCTATATCATTTTATTCTTCTGTACCAAACTAGTCTTCAGTAAAATTGGTAGAGTTAATAGGGATTGGGATGTGTTCAATATCACTTCTTAAACCCGTGCTTAGTGCCCGTGCTTAGTGAACATCAGTACCATTACCATCATACTTGGTGCTCATAAAAATGAATTTTTTTAGGCATTTTAAGTTTTTGTGTGTGTGTGAAGGTTGACAAACATTGATGAGGAATTTGAAATTTGAGTGACCAACACACCACCCACCACGCACTGAACGTGGGTGGTGTGGTTTATGTGCGTGAACGGCCACAAAGGGTAACTCGTGGAGGCAGTAGTTGAGGAGGAATATTTATTATCCATATGATGATGATCAACGGTGAGCTCATAAAAGGCACCTTATTGGTTAGAGCTGTCTTGAGTCACTAATGCTCCATTTGGCTAAAAAGAAAATAGTGTTGGGAGGAGGTGAAAGTAATAAAGTAATGTGAATGGAAAGGACAATAAGTTCTTGTATGTGGGAGCCAGGATTTTAAGTTGTTCAATATATATATATATATATAAAATATTACACCTTAAAAAAAAAAGAATTTTAAGAAGTAAAAGTAGAAGCAGAAAAAGAAAAATGAGAGAAATTTAGATATTTTCTTTGGAAAATATATATATTTTTTCAAGTAAAATATTCTTTTTATTTTTACTTTTTTGATGTTCAGTAAAGGTGTAGGTAGAGGTCAATGACGAGTCCATCAGGTGGGGCATGTAAAATAACTTGTTAAAAATTGATATGTAAGTTATTTTTGTTATATTTTAATATTTTTTTTCTTTGTAAATATTTTATCACAACCAAATACTAGAAAAATAAAAAAAATATTTTTTAAAAAATATTTTATATCCAAACAAACGAAACTTAAAAGGAAAAAGATAAAAATTTAAAGTAATTTTAGATATCACAAAATTTAGGAGTACTGTATAAATTTTTTCATATATTTGAAAAATAATAATAATTTATTACATATTTTATAGGGTGTGAATTAAAAAAAATTACCGGTGCAGGTTAGATCAGGCGACATGCCCCACCCAATACCTTTATTGACTTGATGTACATACTTCGTTTCATTAGGATGAAAGACTTGCAAAGACTACTTGTATGATTTAATATAAAAAAAATACCACTTTCTTGTTTTACTTGGAAAAAGTTATGGTGTTGTGGAAATCTTTCCCAACTATATTTTTTTTTCTTACCATCCAATCTCTTAAAATGTTAGAAAACTTTCCATTTACAGAGGCCAAGAATTTGGATGAACAGTGTCCTATGTGTGGTCTGGATCATTTTAGAATCTCATCATTCTGTTTAATAAATAGTTACTTTACGTAGATCATGAAGTCAACCAAGAAATGTAACATATTTAACAATTTAACAGTTTAAAATACAAATAGTATCAACCACCTAAAATTATTAGGGAAAATCATTGTTTTAGACATCTAACCACTTGGAATGACACGCCAAACCAAACTATTAAAAATGTTGAATTTATTTATTTATTTTTTATTTTTATTTTTTGATGAATCGTGTGTGGTTGAGTACATTTTGGGCTATCATTTTAGAATCAAATCATTCTGTTTTACAGTTATTTTTATGTAGATCAAAAAGTCAATGAGGAATTGTTGGGCTATCATTTTAGAATCTCATTATTCTGTTTAATACTCATTTTATGTAGATCAACAAGGGAATTATACTGTATTTAACAGTATAAAATACAAATAGTTACATGGATTTAGACACCTAACCACTTGGAATGACACTTCTAACCAAATCCAATACTTTAGTACAGTGATTAGGCAAAGTAGTTAGTAGTTCAGGTCCTCTCCACTCGCATTAAGATGCTTGTCTCCTAACTAATCTGATGGACCACATTGCCAATACATTACCCTCGTAACATTCTAACAACAAAAACTATATATATATATATATGTATATATATATATATATATATATATATAAATGTTCACTTTCCCTCACATACAAAAAAAAAAAAAAAAACTCTCCAATTACTCTCTCACTAGACGACTGGATACGACATCCAGTGAGTATCTAATGACGGTGATTAACATCACTACCTCTCCAATTACTCTCTCACTGGATGACTAAAGACGACTTCTAGTGAGCATCTAACGATGGTGATTATGTATAAATTGAAAGATTGGTAAATATAACTCAACTGCTAAATTAGTTTTTTTACCCCTCACTAATCCAGTCAGAGAGTAATGGAGAGGATTTTTTTTCCCTCGGATAGATAATGCACAACTCAAGTATCCTGATAAACCTGAAAATATATGCACAACTGAAGTATTAACCATCAAATCCAATGGTGAGGATTTAATTTGCGGATAGATTATTCTATATATAACTAGGCTAACATTTGGAAATCAGATCATGACAACCAAGATCCTCCAGCAATCACTTTATATCTCTGAAAGATGGCATAGAATAAACGGATTTGACATGAATGAAATAACTTTGAACATCTGCAATTGACATTAGGATTGCTTCTACTTTGTACCAAATCATTCATCATCCATTATTGGCACACACACAATGCTTTGCACGCATAAGATTGCGCCATACACAACAGATCTTTTGCACAAATTAAGTGACAGAACGGCACAAAGAGGTCAGAACATGAGAATTTATCAGATTGCGACATTTATGAAACATCCAGGAAGGGACTAAGCATTTTCAAGAACTCACACTTTAAAGAAGAATTCACTATTGGCATCTCCTATGTTTACATAGCAGCTGATCTAATGTTAACCCTACAATGGCAGGGTTTCGTTTCTATACATCGATCTAATTATTATTATATAAAAATACTATCAAGATACTACTAAAGAACATCAGATCCCAGTGGTTCTCCCAATCCGACTTGACGGACAGAATGCAGTCGTTCTCCAATTTTGAACTTCCAGTGAAGGACTAATACGAGTGCTTCAAAGGCACATTCTATGGGCACAGAAGGAATCACGTACTTCTTAGGATTCGTCTGACAACTGCAAGCATTCATGGGGATTGGAATAGAAATAATCTTCTTCCTTGGGTCTCTCTGAAATCACCACTCGTTTCTTTGGCCTTCCCAGACGATTTGTATGAACTTCCTTGACAGAGGAAGAGAACTCCTCCCAGCCCAATGACCCATCATAGTATCGATCTATCAGATCAACCAAAAACTTTCTATCCAAAAGAATGGTCTTCTTGAACCCTAAATATCTAGAAAATTTCGAAACACACAAGACAGGATGATCAATTAAAAAGAAGAGAAGAATTTATATGTGCACTAAGAAAGCATCCCAAGATGTTCTGCTAATAACCCTCTACAGTATCTGCTAAAACAACTAATGGTTATGACAATCTCCAAATTGACTAATCATACCATAGTCACTAGAAAAGTCTAGTTCAAATTCTCCAATTTAGAATGGTAAAGCAGATTTAGCATCCTAATTCTTTATTTCTTCTTCGTGAGCAAGGAAAGGGAGGATAAAAACTCATTTAGCGAAAACAATCAACTAGAAAATGAGAACACAAGCAAAACAATCATATAATTAGCAGTGATGTAATACCTTCGGTGGCCTTCAACAACTTTAGCCATATTTCCATCATATGTAGGAACAAATATATCACTCTCCACAGAGACGAGATAATCCAGTGCTGCCATCTGGGAGGAATGGTTTTGGAAAAACCTCAAATCTGAGGGTTCCAACAAGGTCTCTTTTCTGACCTGTTTCATATATTTTAAGCAAATTGTTACAGCATTTTCTAACAATAAATACCGAAATTCTGTTTCTATCGACTGACCAGGTTTGGGAATGCAGCTGCCAAACTTTCCAATCTCCTGGCTCCACCATAGATTTCTCCAGCAGCAATATAAATTTGAACATTACGATCAATACCCAGGGCACTTAAAATGAGAGCAGTTTCCTCTGGCGTCAAAGGACACAAACCTTCTTTCCGTTTCAGTTCAGAATCTATAACTTTTTCCTTCCACCATGGATAAGCATATCTGGTTAAGTATGATTTACCAGTCAATAAAGGGACATAAGAAACATAAACCAGTTCTGGTCCCGCTATAGGAGGGTTCTAGGAAGGAGACTTGAGACAGACCTATCCTTTGATATTTCACAAAGTGGTTGTCTGAGGCTCGAATGTGCACCAATGGCACTGATGTTCAAGCATTAAACCACAGAACCAGGCAACAGGACGATGGTAAATGAAATGAAAGACTAACTACTTGCTTCATCAAAAAATGAGCAAAGATTACCTCATTCTTGTCAGTTCTTCCACTTCTTCGTCTTTGCAACCATGAGCACAGCCAGAGAAAGCCAACATGTCCATTTCATATCTTAGATGGAGGACCAGGAAAGGTCCATTTCGCCTCAGAATCCTGACAACCCTTCTACCTAATTCCTCTATCTGGGAGGTGAATCTCAGAGCACTGAAATTTACTTTACACCGCAACTTCTGAATCTCAAAAGGGAGCCCATTATTAGCTAGTCGAGCATCAGTCTTGTTCAAATGTACAACTTTATACTTCTGCACCAGAGGAAGAATCTATTTGCAAAAATTTCAGAAAATTAGTTGCATATTATGTGTAAAAGAGATAAACATGAAACGAAAAAGCCACTGCTAGCAGTATTAAAAGTGTAAACCAACCTGATTATGATAGTAGGAAATGTCAGACCAACTAATGGGTGGCAACGAGTAGACCATTCCATCTTCAACTCTTTTCTTGAGCTTTGGAGGTAACTCTTTCAATATCCGAACCTCATCCCTTAAGGATTTAATGAAATGATCAACATCAAATATGTCCTGGAACTCACTGCCACATTAAAAGACATAATTAACAACTATTGAGAATGCTAATGCATAAGCTAAAAGCCCTCAGACTCGGATGATTATGCCACAAATTCACATAGATGTAAAAAAATTAGCTTAACCTACCTTGGATCAGCCCAGAAGGAAGTTTTATCCAACTCTGGGACAATAAGAGTGACATTTAGATGTCTGGCAATAGTAACCATGTCACAAATCTGCAGAGGATGATGTACAGAATGAGCAGAATAGAACACAAACAACACATCAAAGATAAAACACAGAGGAAAGTAATATATGCTCATAATGATACTAGTTATGAAAGAAAGTAGCTAACAACTCACTGCTGCTCGCATTTGGTTGAGTCCTCCATTGCAAGAAACCATAATATAACCATTATTCTTGTAAACCCCTGAAAACAACAGTAATTGAATTGCTTACCAACAGACAGAATTAGAATATTCAGAAATTCAAACAATAAAAGGAAAAACAAGAAATAAACCAAAATATTTGGCAAGACAGTTGTTGATATATCAACAGAAAAACTCTCCAGGTAGGCAGGTTATTGTTAATTGGAACAAATCAATTCTTCTTATTAGCATGATACATTCAAAGTGTATCGATGACATAAACTTAAGCAAGCAAATAAAATTAATTCACAAGTATATAAGCCTGTGAACTGTGAACATATGTAATTGTTTTGTTCCTATTTGATAAGTGAGATATGAAAATATTAATGCTATGTATAGAAGCATGGAATTGGTGCCTTGGAATTAGACTTTGAACCAATTTTGCTCCATTTCCAACTCCATTACACTGATTCCATGCTTCAAAACACAACATATCTCAAATTCGACAATACAAGATAGAAAAGATATCATATGAGTACCCAAAATGAAATACTGAAATACAAATATATAGATTCCACCTAGTGATAATCCATCATATATATCAATCACTACTCCAATCTGAAGAGTTAAGAACAACTTCAACTACATTCATATGCACATAACTCACTTTTTGGTGGAGTAGGAACTCTGGGTGGAACAGAAAACAATCTGTCATCTGAAAACATGTCCGAAGGAGTAAAGCAAGAAGGCCAACCCTTCAACAATTTCGGCCCCCACGTTTCTCCCAATGCCATTAGCTGAATAACAGAAGTCCACAGCAGTACAGTAGTCATTCCTCGAATTATCCATAGCTTCATTCCAGCACGAGAAACCATAAATTTCGAATTCTCCGCCTTAGCTTCCCCTAGAAACTTCATACCCATCTCCTACCTACCTCTCTCTATCCCCACATTCAATCTACACATTGTGCCATCATTACTTCGACTGTAAAATTGCGGAAACACGGAGCTTCAAACTATCAAAAACCCTTGGATTCAGTGATATTTGGATGCCAAATTCAACAACAACAAAAAAAAGACAGTATAAAACAACCCAAAAACTCAATTGGTTATGCTGATATGTTTGTTTTAATATAATGAAAAAAACTATTGACTGATCCAAGTATTTAAATGTTATCTAAACGCAAAAAACAAGACGAATCTCTGAACTTCATTAACATATGCAAAAATTGCCTCGAACCACGAAAATCTATAATAGCACTAAAATAATCAAGCAAAACCCACAAAAAAAACAGACGACTTAGTAATTGTAAAAACGCTCGAATTTCTTGAATCTCATGGAACACCCACCACAATGCTCAAAAAAAAAAAAAAAAAAAAAAAAAAAAAAAAAAAAAAGACACCCAAAATTCACAGAAATTCCAATTTTGACGCACTGCAACCCGTAAATCTCCAAACCCTCCAAAGATTTTCTCACTCCAAAAAGCTTTCTCTCTCTAATTCTGCTAGAACTTGCATTACTAGTAGTCACGCACGATACGACAGACATACAACCAATCACAAACTCTTCTGATTTGTGTTGATGGACTGAATCAAATCAAAAACAAACACAAGGGGTGATAGTTTTGGTGAAGTTGTTGAGAGATTGGGTTTCCGATGGGTTCTCCGACCAGATTCCGGCGAGAATCATCGCCGGGAAACTGGTGCGAAAGGCTTGTTTGTGTGTTAGAGCAGAGAAGTGAAAGGAGGGGTCTCTTCTCATTATATGGCGTTTGTATAGAAACTGAATTGCCTGTAATTACGGCGTCGGTGTTGCGTTTTTTACAGTTGCTGATTTACCTTTTTACCACGGTAAAAAAACTGAAGTTGATTTGAAAGTGATAGTTGGCCCCACAATTTTTTTGCTCTGCACCAGTAAAAAGTTGGTACATGTGGCATTCTGATATGACAGGTCAGCATAATTGAGTTGAGTCTCACGCGGTTACTTATTTACCCAATATATAAAAAATAAAATCTTTATGTGCTTATTTCTTTTTAGATACTTAGAGATTTGATCACCGTTTAAAAAAAAAAAAAAAAAAAAAAAAGTTTTTGAAATTGCATATGATCTAGTGTTGATCTTTTAAAGAAAATTTTGTATGAAACCACAAAAGTGAAAAAAATATGAATTAAATCAGAATATATAAAATGTAAGTTAAGTAAAAATTCAATTGTTGTCATTATTAAACACATAACACCACATTACTTCAAACATTTCTTAAAATTCAATATAGTTCAGGTGTAACATATTATTAACACTATGCTATTTAACCTAGTAAGGATGACACATTCACTCGTGCACTTTTAAGTAGAAATAAAAGTGTGAATACGTGTTCAAGTCTTAACTTGTGACTTTTTTGACAAACGGTTTTTAAAATGAGTGTGTTGTTAATTTATTATTAATACTGTACTATTTAACCTAATTCGCATGACACATTCACTCGTGCACTTTTAAGTAGAAATAAAAGCGTGAATATGTGTGCAAGTTTTAATTTGTGACATTTTTTACTAACTGAATTAAAAACGAGTGTATTGTTAACTTGTTATACTGGTTTAAATGTATTCATGTTAATGTGCTTTTTGAATTCCTAGACAATATGATGATTTGGACTCTGAAAATCCAACATTTGAATAGATTTTCTAGCAAAAGATTTATTATCTAGATTAAGTAAGAAGTTAGAAATTCTTTGTTTGAATTTAAAATTGAATAGATATTGATACTTTAGATTAAGAAGTTAGAAATTCTATGTTTGAACTTAAAATTGGATAGAGATTGATAATTTAGATTAAGAAGTTTGAAACTTAAAATTGGATAGAGATTGATATTTTAGATTTTGAAATCTTATGTTCGAACTTAAAATTGGACTATATTTGAACAAGTTTGAAATTGTATGTTGGAACTTATCATTGAATAAATATTGATAATTTAGATTAAGAAGTTAGAAATTCTTATGTTTGAAATAATGTTTGAATGGATATTTTGATAATTTAGATTAAGAAGTTAGAAATTATATGTTTGAAATAAAAATTGAATAGAAATTTTGGTAATTTAGATTAAGAAATTAGAAATTATATGTTTGAAATAATAATTGAATAGAAAATTTGAAATCCTATAAATTAGTGACAAAAATGGTAAAAATATTAATAAAACTCAAACGAGCATAATTACTCAAAGTATTAAGCACTCAAAGTAGAAAGAATCTCTTATAAAAGAAAGTGCATTGATGAGCATTACAGAAAGCTACAAAGTGACTGCTCCCTTATTTGGAACCTTTGTTCATCCTGACTCACATACACACACACACACATATATATAATTTTATAAATATATATGAAATTATTTTCACTAGCAAAATGTCAAAAACGTGCCTAATAATTGGTTTGCGACAAAATCAAAGTATTCACTATTCTATAACTTTGTGAGGCCTCCATTAGTTCCTCTCATTAACTGAATTTTGTGGCATTAATTCTTATTTTTTATTATTATTATTTTTTTATCATTAATTCTTATTTTTAACCATCCACTTTTTAATACTTTCAACTAATGAGAAGAATTAATGGGGCCACCACCAAATTGAATGAATATCCTTACAATGTTTTCCATAATCAATTGGGAGGGACATTTTTTTGACTTTTTCCATGGTAGTACAGCTTATTGGCCAATTTAGCTTTTATATATATATATATATATATATATATATATATATATATAAGTATGGAAAATGCTTATTGGGTTGTTTTGTGTATTCTAAAAGTAAATTTTGAATATAGAAAAAATCTTAAATATAAGAAGGAGATAAAAAATAGCAAAGCTTATAATTATGGAATCCAAACCCAAATATAACTTAATAATTTGAATTTAATCTTGACAGTATATATATTAGCTTGAGAGACTCTTTTTATTAAATCTTTAAATAATTTAAACTATAAGTTACAAATTTTTACGATAGAATTTATATTTTCTAATTACGATTAAATTTTAAAGACATGCCGACACACACATGAATATATATTGAAAAAGATTAGTAGAAGAAAGCAAATTAACAACAGAAAGAGAAAACATATTGTAATTAAGACAAAGTATAGAAAACCCTCCTCGACTTGTAATCTTTTTCAGTAAACCCCCTCGTCTAATTTTTTACTAAAGAACCCCCCTCGACTTGTAACCCTTTCCAATAACTATTCCTTGTCTAATTTTTTACTAAAGAACCCCCCTCAACTATCTAGGGGGTAAAATAGTTTATATTTGGACTAAAATGTCCTTTTATTTAAACCATAATTTTTTCGAACTTCAAAAATTCATATCTCACAAACCATACGTCCAAATATTGTAAATAATATATGCACGGAAGCTAATAAAACACGGATTCCAGAAATATAAGATTTGTTTAACAAAACTTCATAACTAGAGAGAAATAGACAATCTAAAAATCTACTGCAACAATCTTATTTTATTTTATTTTTTATAAAATACTCGGGTTATTTGTAAGAAATTTTTTAAAATTATTCATTTTTATATGGAGCATAATATATAAAAAAAATTAGCCCCAATAGAGACCGAATATTCATTTTTAGTTATTTTTTAAATGGTGAGTCTATAAAAGAATGAAAATATTTTGATGCAAAATATGATATTTCATGAAATTGACCTCTGTTGGGGCTAAATTTTTTTTATATATTCGGCTCCATATATAAATGAATAATTTTGAAATTTTTTTGCAAATATCTCTAGTATTTTATTTTTTTAAAATAAAATAAAATTGTTGCAGAGATTTTTAGATTGTCCATTTCTCTCTGGTTATGAAAAGTTTGTTATATAAATCTTATATTTCTGGAATACTTATTTCATAGGCTTTCCGTGCATATATTATTTACAATTTTTAAATGTACGATTTGTGAGATATGAATTTTTGAAATTTGAGAGAATTAAATTTTAAATAAAAGGGATTTTGATTCAAATATCAACTCTTTTACCCCTTCAGATAGTTGAGAGGGTTATTTGGTAAAAAATTAGAAAAAAGGAATTTATTAAAAAAATGTTACAAGTCGAGGGGGATTCTTTGATAAAAAAAAATAGATAAGAAAGATTTACTGAAAAATGTTACAAGTCGAAGGAAGGTTTTATGTACTTTGCCCTTGTAATTATTTTTCTTCAATTGACAATTCATTTAGTTTAGTGCAGTTTAGTTTGTTAAAATAGAAAAGCATAAAAGACTATATAGTAATATGTATTAAATAAGAGAGCATTAATGTCTTTATAGATATACAATAAGATTTTTTGGACCGATGCATTGCAGTGAAACTCATTTATAAAATATACTAATATAATAATTTAAAATATAAGAGTCAAACTCTCTATCATAACTTGTAAAACTTGATTTGATCATATATAATTTACACATGTATTTAGTAAAAGAGAAAGAAGAGGACAGTAATGTTCTGTTTGATAAGAAAGAAAATATGAAGGGAAAAGAGAGAGGAGGAGATGGATGAAATATTATTTTCTTTTTTTTATTTGGTTGGATAGAAAAAAAAGAGAATAGGAACATTTAAATTATTTTAACCATTTTATCCAATAAAATTTATTTTCTGCCGTTTTTTCATGGATGAAAATTTATAAAGTATCCTTCCTATTTTCCATTCTTTACTTGTATCATATATATTTACTCAACAAAGGAAATTTGTTCATTCCTTTCTATTTTCTCTCCACATCTCTTCCTTTCTTCTTATCCAACACAGCATAAGATTGCAACAACTTCACATTCATAGGTACCATAAACGATACAAACTTGGAGGTATATATATATATATATATATATATATATATATATATATATATAAAACAAATATAACACTTCATACTTTTTTCTTATACATATTTCAACCAGATAGATTTATTAATATAGAAGACATAACGAACTTCATATCTTTACCGAACCATCTACTGATCTACATATACAAATATGTTGCGTATACATATTTAAATGTGACTATAATAAGTAAAAATATAAATCCTCTTTGTACCCAAGCAATAACTATCCTGGCCAAAGAAGAAAAAGGAAAAAGAAAATAAAAAATTGCATCTAATTAATAATTACTTAAAAAAACATGAATTATATGACTTGAACAGGTCGATCATTGATTAAGGTGAGAGATTAAGGCCCAGAGCAAAGGTTTCATGTGCGTATTGCATGGGACAAACATGCATGTAACATGTACTTAAATTTGTTGAGTCATATAAAACCTACATGTTTTCGTCATTTTTTTTCCAATCTTATTTTTGGTAATCAAATTAAATTGTTGCTTTATTAATTTACTATAATGGGCATGTAATGAGTGCATTATAGTTATAATTATTTGGACACATAAATTGTTTCCATTAATAATTGTGCCCATGTGATTTTTCACGCTATGATTTTCAATAGAATCACTCTCCTCCATTTTATTTTATTTTATTTTATTTTTGGGTAATAATTGGGTGGTCGGGGGCTTTGTCCTGACTACATCACGGGGCCACCCGTGCAAGGCACCCTCTTTATACGAATAGGGTAAAGTTTGAAGTGAATTATGTCGGTGAACGTGACCTTTAAAGTATTATTTTACACATGGGAGATAAAAAAATAATTTTTTTTTTTTTTTTTTGGAGAAACTATATATTTATTTCTCATGGCCCAAAAAAGCATTATAATATCAAAGTTGGAGTCAAGTCAGTGTCTTAT